ATTTTCATCTGTGAGCCATCGACAAAACTGCGCTCCAATGCGAGTAATTGCAGTCCAAGTTGGATTTCAAGTGCATACACAAATTACCAATGCAAATACAACATATACAATGCACAAATAGTAGACACATATTGAGTCACAAGCGCTTCATGACATCGCCTGCCACATATTCAATGCCAGCGGATACAGATACAGATACAGATACAGATACAGATACATATACATACACAAATGCAGATACAGATACAGATACCAGACAGATACAGATATAGATAGATATAGATATATATAGATATAGATATAGATATAGATATAGATATAGATATAGATATAGATATAGATATAGATATAGATATAGATATAGATAGATATAGATATAGATATAGATATAGATATAGATATAGATATAGATATAGATATAGATATAGATATAGATATAGATATAGATATAGATATAGATATAGATATAGATATAGATATAGATATAGATATAGATATAGATATAGATATAGATATAGATATAGATATAGATATAGATATAGATATAGATATAGATATAGATATAGATATAGATATAGATATAGATATAGATATAGATATAGATATAGATATAGATATAGATATAGATATAGATATAGATATAGATATAGATATAGATATAGATATAGATATAGATATAGATATAGATATAGATATAGATATAGATATAGATATAGATATAGATATAGATATAGATATAGATATAGATATAGATATAGATATAGATATAGATATAGATTTAGATATAGATATAGATATAGATATAGATATAGATATAGCTATAGAATATAGATATAGATATAGATATAGATATAGTATATAGATATAGATATAGATATATAGATATAGATATAGATATAGATATAGATATATAGATATAGTATAGATATAGATATAGATATAGATATAGATATAGATATAGATATAGATATAGATATAGATATAGATATAGATATAGATATAGAGATAGATATAGATATAGATATAGATATAGATATAGATATAGATATAGATATAGATATAGATATGATTATTATAGATATATTATAGATATAGATATAGATATATAGATATAGATATAGATATAGATATAGATATAGATATAATTATATAATAATAGATATAGATATAGATATAGATATAGATATAGATATAGATATAGATATAGATATTGATATAGCTATATATATATATATATAGATATAGATATAGATATAGATATAGATATAGATATAGATATAGATATAGATATAGATATAGATATATGATATAGATATAGATATAGATATAGATATAGATATAGATATAGATATAGATATAGATATAGATATAGATATAGATATAGATATAGATATAGATATAGATACAAACACTCTTGCATATAGCAACAACTAGATGAATGGCAGCCCGTGTGCGCACTTAAATTACAAAAAAATCGTGCAAATTTTATTTGCTTTAGACAGCTGCTATAAATACTAAAAGATATCAGTCAGTCAGTCAGTTAGCAGTTAATAGATACAGATACAGATACAACATACAAAGTGTTTAACCGTGATGTGCCGAGAGCTTGAAAACATTTTCACACTTTGCCGTTTGCATAATTGATGGCTGATGGCTGATGTTGATGCTGATGTGGATGCTGATGTAGATGCTGATGCTGATGTTAACGTTCATGTTGATTATTTTGGTTGCTAATGATACTTGAGAGCGTGGTCCATTGGTTGCGTCAGTTTTCTGGGTTGCGACATATGCTTTGGTCTTTATGTTAACCACTTGATTTACGAGCTGCTAGAATTGTGGGCATTAACAACTCCGCACAATAGAGTTTACCTTGCACAAAAGCGTAGTTCTTAAGCTTGAAACAAAAGTCGCGTTCTCTGACTCAATATTATTTTATTTTTATGGCAAAAATCTTGTTGGCAGTTATTTGTAGCTCGAATTTATTCTAGTTTACAAATATAAAGCTAAAGGTTTATGGCTGCCAAGATATAGTAAGGGTAATTTATAAATAAATATTTGTAATACTTTTATATTTTACTATTTTGTATTTAACAAATTTATTTTCATAAATTTGTAAACCCTTTAACCCTTTTGTGTTAAAATCATGACAAGCCAAATTGACAATGGCTGTGCTTCCGTCTTGAACCATTGCCGCGCCTTCCATCTCATAATATTATTTAATATATTAAATTTTTATTTTTATTTATAAATTATTAATTAAGTTGCTTAATTGATTTTTGACCAATTTAAGGGATTGCGTGAATATAGCACATTAAATCTTAAGCTACAAAAACTGACATATTAAAAGAAATACGGAAATTGCCGGCAAGCCATAAACTCCTCTTCTATTTTTGAGAAAATCATATAAGAAGTTAATAACTGGTACAAGATTCCAAAGATAGACGACATATTTATGCATATGAATATAAATCCATTTATTTCAAGACATCTTCTAGCTGACCAACAGAGTTGGCACAAAAATAGGTTAGGGAATCGCCCAACCCCTAGAGATTAAGGCAGGGCGAGAAGGAGAGGGAGGAGAGAGAATTCAAACAAGCTAAACAAATGGTTGTTTTATATACAAATGACTAAATCCGAACAGCAGTAGCTACAAATGATTGACATAAATTATACGAAGTGCTCGACCGCCGCAAGAACAACAAATGCAAATTGATCATTTGGCATGTTCTTGCAAGCAATTTGGCATAAAATGTGTAATAAGCCAACATTAAATCATTGCAGTGGATAAGTTCACAGTCAGCCAACTAGAAAATTGCCACAGCCAGAGAGCTGAGAGCTGAGATCTCGTCAACTATGGCCCAAAAGGTAGGAGAAGTCGGCGCAAATTTCCTTAGCCACTGGCCGTTTGTTAATTGTAATTGAGCTTTTGTCGGCGCACTTGAAACGTGCTTAATTGCCATAGATAAGTACACAGACAAATACAAAACTAGAAGATAGATATACAAGCATGTAAGCATGTATGCCATACACAAATGCAGTTCACACTTCATTTGCAATTTGCATTTAAATGTAGCTGGCACAGATACAGGTAATTAACAGGCCAACAGATTTAACCAAGTTCTAATCAATCGAGAGCTGCATTTCAAGACCAAGCGTGTGTACTTGAGCCAAACAAATCTCTCCCACGTTCCCAATCGCTCTAAGCCAACTAACAGTAGCTAAATAGCCAGCCCAAGAGCCAAGGCGGCTTCTTGTGCACTGGCCCGTTAAATGGGTCATTTGCAGCGGCTGTCGAAGACAAAGCTGTGGTTGTCGTTGTTTTTCTTATTGTTGTTGCTGCCTTTGCTGTTGCTGCTGCTGCTGATGGTAACGCCCCGTCAAGAGAAGCAAAACACGTTGACAATGACAACAATTGTAAACAGCAGGCAGGCAGGCATGCAGGCAGACCAAAGATCTATCCAACAAACCATCCAAACCAGCAGCGTCCAAGTACCCGGTCCGTCCATTCAGCCATCCATCCATCCATCCATCCGTCCATCAGCGGGGCAGACCGAAGACAACGCCGCAATTTTAAATGACCAAATTCGTCTTGTGGTTTGTACTTGAAAAACCCAAAACTGGTAAACGAAATGCGATATACACGCACACATATAAACATGCATACATATATATATATACTACATATAGCACTACTCGATAAACACGAGAACTTAACAGCCTGGCCAGCTGTCAACCAACTGGCAAAATGAAATGAAAATGAAACCAATTTTTTTTTCAGCTTCTTTTATTTATTTATTTATTTTTTTTTTTTGTATTTTGTTCGCCTCTTTTGCCGCTGGAGCCGTAAAATGTTAAAATATGTAGCCATAAAATTGGATTTTGGTTATATTAAATTAAATGCAATAAATAAAAGCGTACAAATGAATTAATCGGTTAGCCAAGTACCACAAGCAGCTGTGCGTAGGAATCTGTAGGAATCCAAGTATATTGACGAAATTGAGTTGACAAAGACATAATGTTGAGAATTACTTAACATAAGATATTAAGGCAGATAATCAAAGGCACGGGGAGAAAGCAGCGTGCCATTTAAGGAGTATATCCAATTGATATTCATAAAACGATATTTAACGGTAACATTTTGATATGACATAAGAAAAGGCCGGAGTTAAAGAGAGGGATAGCAGAGCATTGGGTTAGCTAACCCTATAGTCAAACAAACATTCCGGCCCAAGCAACTTCTTTAACTCTACCTTCTGTTTAAGTATAACAAGATTTAATAGTTGTTTACATTTTGATTATATAAACAACAATTTTGTTGTTATAGTAAGTGGAATCGAAATTTTAGTGAAGTAAGCCCCAATGCATCATAATCAAGAATTAATCAAAAACGAGAAAATATAGATATCTCCCATAGGCCGAGTTTGGTCAAGTTATCTTTATATAAAAACTGATTTCCATATCAGAACGTACTTTTCGCCGATACTCCCAATGCCAGTCGTTCAAAGTTAATAATATTTTTGCATATATATCATATAGTCGTCCGATCCGAACGTTTCAAACACATGTACTGCCAGGAACAAAAATTGCATAACTCAATTGTAATACCCTCTTTAAATATAAAGTTAATGTTTCCCTTATGAAATGTAAATATTTTTTAAAGACTTCTATTACAGAAACTTCAACACATTTAAAAACCTTTTAGTACCATTTTTCAAAACTATTTCTGGGTTTATTGTCCGACTCGTCTCGCCACACAAAACTCACTCAGAAAAATTTAAATAAAAATTCCGCAATTATTTTTAGTTACATGTGTTACCCACCTAAGTTTAAATATAGCACTTGCTGCTGAGACCTTCGGTCATCAACAGTAGCTTTTCATTTTTTTAAATATTTATTATATTTTAATACATTTATTTTTATATATAAACATATATTGCTGCCTAAAGCTGGAAGTTGTTCGCACATTTTCATGTTGGACTCTCAATTACTCAATCTTTCAGACTTGGACATGAATCGATCGCACCACGCTTCACTCCATAACCTGCCATGGCATGTGACTGCGCTGTCCGGTCGCCCATTTACGGAGCACACAATGCCAAAAGCCCCAAAGAAAAAATCCAAGAAATTCTTTTGCTGGTTTTCGCTATGTTTTATTTATTTATGTATTTTGGATCGTTTGACTGCCGAAATAAACACGAGATCAAGGGTAACCATGGCCGAATCGCCAGCGTTGTCGTCACTTGTTGTGGATTCTTCGGCGATTTTGGTTTGGATCTTGCTTGCCCGGTTGTGCGAGAAGCTGGAAAACATTTTATAGCACCACGCAGCCGTTGTTATGCCCTTGTAACGGGTATGCTAACTAAGTCACAAAATGTGTAACTCATAGGAGACGCAAGGAACATATATAACTGATCAGCTGTCGAGTCACGATATACTGAGCAAATTTGGACTACTATATCATATAGAACTATAGAAAGTGGCGGCCAAAGATTGAGTTTTGGTAAGTAGAACTTTGCTTATGTTTCTTGATATTATGAGCTTCACTTTCCTCCCATATGCCAACTTTAGGAGCAATCGTTGGCAAGTAGAGCTTTTATAGAAAATCACTTCTATGCCTGATGCTCGCAAGTGTATTCGATCTTCGGCGTGCCGCTAAATAGCCGCTCTTTCCTGTTTTTATGAACCTCCGTTTCGTTTAGCGAACAAGTGCAAAAGACTACGGCTCTTAAAATATATATTTTCTTATGCAAATTTTTATGCTCGCCCCAAGATCTGAAGTCTATGGCAAAGAGTTTCTGGCTTTTGTGTGTATGCGATTTGATTTGATTTGCTTTGGTTTGGCTTGGCTTGGTTTGGTTTCTGTGCAGTTGTTGCTGGCAACAGCTTTAACAATTGTCGCGCATTAGTCGCGCTAACCTCAAGGTCCAACTTTTTTGCACATTTGTGCTGGCTGTTGAATGGTGGGGAGGGCTTTTGGGAGGAGGTCTAGAAACTTCAGCACCTGACGGCATCGCTGTCGCGCTGCTGCCAAAGTCATGTCATGTGAAATAATTGCAATTTACGCTTCGCAGCCAACGGGCAGCGCAGCAACAGCAGCAGCGGCAGTAACAAAAACAACCAACACAATTGTCGGCCGTTCCATGGGGCGAATACAGAACGTAGAATTTTGTTTGCTGCCCGATGATCTCACATGCACTCGCTGCATGATGAAAAGCAGCCATCAGTGGCTGTGCACAGAGTCGGACACTAAGCCAGGCCGCGGGCACATGTTAGCACGCCTCATCGTCAAATTATCTCTCTCTCGAACACACACACACACACACACACACACGAACACACACTCACACAGAAACCATTACAGCCTTTGTGCTCTGCTCTGGGCCCGGATTGCATAACGCTGCTTGTAATGAAGCGTCAATCTGCGTCGCAGCCAGGTCCACAAAGAGACCGGAATCGGCTGAGTGGAAGCGTTCGTTGTGTGAATATTTCATGGTCACCCATACAGGCAAACAGCTCTCAGTGCATGCCAGTGTATGTGCGAGTGTGTGTGTGTGTTTGGTGAAAATATTCGCATTGTAAGCGAACTGAATACAGCAACCAAGCCAAAAGCAAACAAACATTCCAACAACAACTTTTACATTGCAGCAGTCAAAAGGCGTTTCAGAACGATCTGAAAAGGGTTCCACTTCAATTCGGGTTATTTCGCCAACTACATAAGACCTAGTTAGAGGAATCAGAGAATTCGCAATCAAATCAAGCGCATACGTTTGATTATTTCAAGAATGAGGGTTGGCAGTACAAAATCCAACTCCCTGCCTGAAAATTCGATTTGTAAAGCTGATCTTACACAAACATTTAAATTCTTATTGTAAAAATAAAAATGTGGTAGGCGGTTCAAATCAACTCCTTATCCTCATGTATGGCTCGTGTAGCTCTTACATCTAGTTAGGAATAATTTGATACAAAATTTAAATTGTTTCACTTACAATTGCCCGTTCTACTGAAAATATTGCTTGTCGTACATATTTTCATAGAGAAGTTGTGGGCTACATTTGATCTCTCGCCCAAAAGTTGGCATCTTACACATATGGTTAGTTGAATGGGGGCCAAGTTATAAACGCTTTGGGACTGGGTTGCCAGCTTTTTGAACAACTCGTTGTTTAATTTGAAATTTAAATATCGAACCTAACAAAACAAATAAGTATAGAATTTATAATAATTAATATTGGGTTGACAGCACAAAGAGCATCTCATGTTCAACCCCTGCGAACTGAAAAGTTTGGCTTTTGGTAATGTTTACGTACAAAGTTTAACTAAGGGCATTTTAATGCCAACAAAAAGCACACACACTAACACACACGCAAACATACACATACACACAAAGGGAAATATGCGCGCTGCATAAATACAATTGGCTTTTAGTCAGCGTTCGTTTGTGGTTTTTCCACATTTTCCTCGCTGGTCGGGCGAGGCAACTGTGCATGTGTGTGTGTGTGTGTGTGTGCATATTTGTTCTTTATATGCGGCATTAACTGAAACTTTTTGTTGCATTTCAGCGCAACTTTCATTGTAACGTTTTCAGTTTCAGTTGCCGTTTTCCACAGAAATAAAAGCCAACGGCGAAAGCATAAGGTTCAGCATTCAGATATTTAATTTGATATTTAATAGCAAGAAGTTTTGGGTCCAGCAATTTATTGTCTTACTGAAAAGTTATTGTCGAAATTATAAAACATTAAACAAAAATAAAATTGATAACTTAAATATCTTAAAAATGTATAGTTAAGATAACTTTTATAAATAGAAAAATATTTTACAAAAAATGATCTTTAAATATTTAAAAAGATCATAGCTTGTTTCTAACATTTTAATTGTTTATCGAGAGCATGTTTCTTAAGAGTCATAAATTTAATTATTATTGCATATCATTGCTTAAAAAACTTGCATATTTTAGACAAATAGCAATTTAAAATGTTGATTAATTGATCAATATTAACAAATATTATATTAAAATTTTTTGTATACTTATTTTTCTCAAACATCTTCTGCATAAGAAAATATCAAAATCAAATCGGGCTTACCAAGCTGAAATTAATGTAAAATAAATCAATATAAAATACATTGGATTGAGCACTCTACCTTCAGCTCTTTATTCTTTACTAATTTTTAATTTAATGCAATGTAGTGTAATTTACGAAATTGTTGGCGAATTTGTCCGCCTTTAACTTTGCTTTGCATGTGTGTATGAAAATCTTCTGGCGAATACTCAAAGGGAAGTAATCAAACCTAATGCAGCTGTCTGTGGCAGCAGCAATTTGCATGCAAGCGACTTAGCTTGAAATTACATTTATTGACAACATTTAAATAGACAAAATAATTATTTACCTTGAATGCTTGCAACATTCTCAGCTGTGTGCATTTTTGTGTGCAGTGCATACAAATTAGGTTGAAATGAAGTACAACAATAACTAAAAGCTATGTCCGACATTTGCCAGCAGATATCGGGCGTGATCTGAGGATACGGTTCAAGTTACAAGCAATCCGCAACAAACATGTGTAGATACATTTTGCGGAGCTGCTGTGCAAATATCTGTATGTGTATGTAGCTGCTGCCGACTGCCAAATTGTTGCCACTTGGTTGTAGTACAATGTAGATGAAAGCCGAATGAATGTTTGCTAGCTGCTGCTGTTGAAAAATGTATTTTATGCAATTTGTTTTACACATATGTGCATTTGTTAAATATACATATACATATATGTATATATATTATTTTTGCATGCTTGGCTCAACCACAAAACCTTTTGACGGTTGCTGTTGCTGCAAATTGAATTGCGTATAAGCCCTTGCGTATGTATTTGTTGCAGTTGTTGTAATATATATTATATATAGTATAGATGTTTCGTAGAACACAGCTCGAGCAACTTTGGCCATACGGTGCGTATGAGTAATTCGAGAACCAAAGCAACGTGTTCATTTCTTTTGCCATTTTCGCTTTGACTCTCGACTTCGCTGGAACTGCAACTGAGTCATTTGGAACGGCCTGGCACCGAAACTGACATAGAATATGCAGCTTCCAATTACCAACTAACGATTTGCAGCATTAGTCACCTATTTCCAGCTTTTCAGCAGTTCCTGCCAAGACAGGGCGTATACTTAACGTAACAACAGTCCCAGCATCTACGTGTGTTTGTGTGCTTGTGTGTGTTGGTGTGTAGGTGTGTTCGTGAGAACCTAATGGTTAGCTCTGGGGCCAGCTCATCAAGCGCGACTGTCAGATACATTTTAAAAAACAATAATTACAGCGTACCGAGCGAGTGATTGGTCGTGGACGCGAGGGGGAGACAATTCGCGCGCTCTTTTAAATTTATTTAATTTTTTTTTTGAATAAGTTAACAAACGTTGCCAGCTACACACGTTTACAGCGACCTTGAACTTGATATTAGACGCGATTGCATATAGATATATATCGGCTGGGAACCGGTTTGGCCGTCTTTGGACCAGGGCAAGGCACTGGGCTAAATGCAATGCGAGCAGCGGCTAGTTAGTGCACACTCAGCTACACTTCCCACACGCTCCCTCTCTCTCTCTCTCTCTCTCTCTCTCTCTCTTTACACACAACCCATCAAAATTGAATTTTAAAGATACTTTTATGGTCTCTGGCCTAAACTAGTGTCGCTTTTCCAACTTCTGCTGAGTCATAGCCCAAATATTTGCTGGTTATGTGCGCTTAGCCAAAAGCAAACAGTTTGTCCAGGAGCTGCTTTTGTTGACGTTTTCTTAACATGAACCCTATACCCAGCTTGTCTATGGATATGTATGTGTGTGTGTAGACAAATACATATGTAAATCGATGTGGGTCGCCTGCAATAACAAACCCTGCCAAAGGGCACACAAATACGACTGGATGAACTTGACTTCATCCGATGTGGTTGTTGCTGCTGCTCCAGCTGCTGCTTCTGAAGATGATAGGCCAAGTCAAGTGCTGGAAACGGTTGGCATGTCACAAATTGTGTCTTAGCCCTCTTCGTCTCGGGCGCAACCCATAAAAAAAGGCTTTGCTGTGGGCAAAGAAAAACAAACAGTTGGATCTATCATTACCCTGTCAACATAAAAGTTGGGGCATAATAATTGTTCATGATATTCCCTGATGAATCCAAGATTCTGTTTTTATTGTGATCTTAGGAACCTGAACCGCACACTTAAAATCATATTAAAATTAAAAAGTCTTCGAATTTTGAATATATATTTTAGATAAAGATTCTTTAAAAAAAAATACAAAAAAATATTGTGAGAAAAATTATAATCTCATGGCAATTTTCTAAAATCTAGATGAGAATATTTACAAATGCATAAATAATTAAATGTCCCAACAGATTCTATTTTTCTTAGAAAAATATATGCAAAAGTCATACTTTAGTCGTTTGTAGAAACATTAAAAGAATGACTAAGTGTAAGAAAGGGAATTTATATAGCAAATATTAAAGTTTTTTAAGCCATATTTGATA